CCGAGGAGCTATAGGCTTTTGAACAGATGTCTGATGCAAGGGGGGTGAGACAAATTCACTTTTAGTGCTATAAGCCTGATTTATCTCACTTCAGTTGTTCTGATGCACCTTTATGATGACCCAGACACCAGCCAAATATATAATACAGCAAGACACAGAGATAGAGGGCGAAAATATATATATATAAAAAAAAAGCATGGTTCATTATAAATACGCCCCGACTAAACCTCAGGGTTCGATTCAGTGGATAAGCTCATGGAAGCCACCTTTTTGTCAGTACCAGCATGCATTTCACTTATCAATGCCATGGCCCTACTATGTCACAACCCAATGAGAATTTAACAGCCCATTAGGGATTGGATATTAAATTAATGGGTCTCTAAATGCATATTCAGCATCATTCATCTGCTGGGACTGATTATGGTCGCACTATCAGATGAGAAAAGACAGTGAGAGTCATTCAAAACCACTAAAAAGTCAGCGTATAGGCTCCAGCATGCGTGAAGGAATTAGACTTACGGCACTACAAAGTCAATACGTTAAAAGATTCAGTAGTCCAAGCGAATTTTCCTGATTTTAGCCTTGCGTTCCAACAGCTATAAATCACAACTGGAGTCCATCTTAGCTGACAGCCAGCCTGCTGCTGTTCCTCCATCTGTAGGCTGGGAAATAGATCTCCAGTCTCCAGGGAGAACCAAAGTGCCACGCCTGACACCAGCATCTGTGTAAGTGTGTGTGTGTTCGGAGAACCTATTTGTGCTCCGGCAAAAAGCCAGACATTCTCAGAATACTACGTGTGATTGAGTTACACACACTAGGGTGTGCGACTGGCACACTGTCGTATATCAAATCGCAGCATGTGCAAAGAAACATAATGCAATCTATTCGGCGTGGGGGCACTGGTCCTCAGCCAGCAAGTATCGCGACAGGTGTGCTGCTACTTTTTCCCCGATTTCAAATAACACAACGTCCATATTTCACCAGCGAGCAGCGTACCGCTGACAGAATAACGATGAAGCTGTGGGATGCCAGATTCCAACACATCTGATTACGGTTTCAGAGAAATCAGAAGTTCTGGATGAGCAATTGCTAATCAAACACATTGTATTTATCATAGATGACATTTCTAAAAATAGGCAATGATATAGGGAAAGCGGACCAAAAATTAAAAAAAGGTTCTCATCTTTACTCGGCCTTATTTAATTTTTTTCCCCCATGAAACACAACATGGTTATTTAGCTGAATGCACAAATCACTATTTTCCATATATAGCAGGTGAAAAGAAACTGGGGTGGTCTTGGCTGCTTTTGGGCCTTCTCATCCCCTTCCTGTAGCTTAGTCGTTCTCAACTAGGGGGACAGGGCCAACTAGGGGGCCACAAAATGTCCATAGGCTTCTTGGAAAATTTAAACTTGCCGGCCTCGCAAAATAATTAAAGACATCGTTAAAATAGTCCAAGTGACTACAGTGGCTCAATCTTAAGTTTATCAAACGACGAGAACACTTTTTGTTCGCAAAAACTAACAAAAATAACGACTTTATTTCAACTATTCACTTCGTTCTCTATGCACCTCTAGTCAGTAAACGTAGTGTGATAGTGTAGAGCTACGTCACAAGTAGGCTCACTATTGGCCGATGCAGGTCATGTGTGTGATGCGTGTGACGTACAATAACAGAAGCTTATGTTATTAAAATAGTAACCTGACTCGAGGCTGAGAGACAAGCAAATGAATACTTGAAATAAAATCGTTATTTTTGTTGTTTTTTGCGCACAAAAAGTGTTCTGGTCGTTTGATAAACTTAAGATTGAGCCACTGTAGTCACTTGGACTATTTTAACGATGTTTCAATAACTTTTAGGCCAGCAAGTTTCAATTCCTCAAGAAGCATATGGACTAGAAGGCAGGAGTGATCCAGCTTTCATCAAAAATATGTTAATTTGTGTTCCGAAGATGAACGAAGGTCTTTACGGGGTTGGAACAATATGAGGGTGAGTAAATACTGACAGAATTTTCATTTTTGGGTGAATAACCCTTTAAACTTTGGTCCCCTGTACATAAGCTCCATCGTGCAACACATTGAACCTTGTGCACTACCCTCAGGTCACATCTCCGATAGTATAGCATAATCCGAATTGTTTCTCAGTCATAGAATTTCTCTAAAACAGGCAGGTAATGTATGCTAACATAGAAATGTACATTTATAGTCTGGCTTCAGTGAATCCTCAGTGGCCACTAGAGATTCTCAATCTCTCGAGCAAAACAGCAGCCCGGGGTCAGCAGAGATCTTCTGAGAAAGGCTGATGGAGGTCATGTCACTACAGTGATGTGGTGTTGACAGCAAAATCATTTCTCATGTCAAAGCTACAACACAAACACACCAGTCATAAAGGCATATAATTTGGCTAATAGAGTGTCTTAGTGAGCGTGATCATCTAGTGATTCCCTTCCCCAGTCATAAACATGCAGATAAGCCATGCTGTAATGAGTGAATTTCAGATTAATGTCTCAAATAGGAGGGGTCAGCCAAGGTAACAAGAAGACAGGATATTGGTAAAACTTTACAAAAGACATTGGACTTGCCACTTCAGTAATGATTACAGGCAGGATTATTATTCTTCCAGATACAAGCTTCTGTATGTCGTATAAAACAATGCCTGGATATTAATGCAATCTAGAGCCTGGTGTGAGGTGTTTTTCCTTCTATTAATGTCCAAAACAGACCCACTCCATGAATTAGTCATTTCATTTAACATGTTTCCGAGAAAGGTATTTTGGAACAGATTTTGTATGATTTCTGACTACACCCAAAAATAACAAAAGAAGGAAAATTAGTGAGCTAGTCCATATTGTGCACACTCATAAAGTATATTTCCAGACGTCAACCAAATTAGTCAATCTAGCAAAAATAAAAATGGTGTTAGAAAACTGAAAGCATGGATACTTGATAATATGGAACAATAGATCCTCATAGTCTACCTCTAATGGACAATGCACAGTGTTTGAGAGAAAAAAAATTGATTTATATAAATATATACATGTACATATATTGTCACACATATAGTAGAGACAAAGCAAGATAAGTCAAGACTAAAAAAGGAGGGGGCACTTCCAAAATACCTTACTGACAGCAAGTGCTGACATCTGCCAAGGTATGTAGACATGCCTTGAAGAGATAGGAACCAAGGTCAAGTCATCACATTTACCTGCTGCCAAAAGTCTAAGGCCTTTGGAATTCGGTTTGCTCTGAAAACAGCCAATATCGACAGACAGTTAACGGCTAAGAGCGTAGATTTCTCTGTTCCGACAAAGCACTAGCCCTCAGAAACAGTAAAAGGTTATCTGCTTGTATCGACACACATGATTAAACTCTGGGGGGCACGTTTTTGGAGGGGGTGATTAAACAGAGTCTAACTTAACAAGAATTCCACACAAATCCTTTAACTTTCACTATACAATATTAGAAGGTTTTTTGTTGTACTATAGTCTCTGCATTAAGTCACTAGCAGTTGATAAGGGTTGTCTGAGTGCATGGGGGGGGGGGGGCATGCAGGATGAATAAAAAAAGGGAGCAAAAAGTCAAAGTGAGGGATGAGTAAAAGCTTGTGGAAGTGTTGTTGTCAGGGAGTGATTGACAGGCATTCATGGCACAAGTTAAGCTGGACCCCAGGCTGCAATGTTTAGCTCCTGCAGACTAGTGCAGATAGTCATAGTCATGGTCAGTGGTGGAACTTGTCTGTTAAAGCATTGATTTCATACATATAAACTACTGTTTAAAAGCTTGGGGTTGGTAAGAAAATAAAAAAAATAAAATAAGTTTGCTTTTTATGCTTACCAAAGCTGTATTTATTTGATCAAAACAGTAAAATCATAGTATGAAATATCACAATATAACTTATATAGTACAACACACAATTATTCCTCAGATGGCTAAAGTTTCAGCAGCCATTAATCCAGTCTTCAGGGTCACGTGATCCTTCAGATATCATTTTGATATGCTGATTTTGTGGTCAAAAAAACATTCCTTATCATTATCAATGTTGATAACGGTTGTGCTGCTTAATATTTTTGTGCAAACCTTGATACATTTTTAGTATTCTTAGATGAATGGAAAGTCCAAAAGAAATAGAATATTATCTGAAACTGAATATTTCATCAGTTTGATTGATTCAAAATTGTTGTAAAAACAAAATTTTACTGACCCCAAACTTTGAATGGTATAGAGTCTTAAACATTTGCCAGAAAACAGTAAGCAAATCTCTTTGTGGTTATGCACATTTGACAGTAGCCAAAACTTTATGGTATCATCATAATTGTTGTCAATGCAATTTGAAATGAACTGTACTGCTTTAAAAAGTCAACTCTGGGTTCAGCATTACAACTAGACTTGCCAGGAGCCAAGAAAGCATTAAGAACTCCTAGACGTTATTTCTTATCACTGCATAAATCATCAAAAATGAGAGGCAAGCAGACAGAAGGAAGCAGCTATGTAATTGCAGTCTTTTAAATCCGATTCATTTTTTTAAAATTTTTTTTTGCTTTAAAGTAGAAGCAGTGGACTAAATGTCTTCTACCATTTCTGTGAATAGATAAACAACATTTTTTTGACATACAAGAGGCCATTGTAATAATATCTTGCAAGTTTCAGAACCCAAAACTTCAAAACAATGTTTTTCAAAAATAAGCTTTTATTGAAATGAAGCTCAGAAAATGACTAGTTTTGGATTGTCACAATACGCCAGAGTGCGACAAAAGACCACCTATGCAGAAAAAACAAAAACAACAATGCCTTTCTTCCATAGGAAAATAAGTACAATATACTTATTGTGTTCAGGTTGTATAGTAAAACACTTTTGCTGCTATTGAGGTGTGATGTGGGTAAGGTTAGGGACAGGTGTGGTGGTATGGGTAGGTATCAGGGTGGGTTAAGGTGTAAGGGAAGGGTCAACTGTGTAATTACAAATGTAATTACATCAATTAATTACAGTTGTAATTACATGCAGGTATTTTCAAAATATAAGTACAATGTAAAAACATGTACACAATAGGGGTTTCACAACTACTGATTTTTGCTAGTCGACTAGTTTTGCATAACAGTCGACAACTAGTCGACTATTCTTTAAATGGTTTATTCTATGGGTGTGCGATATCACGAATAGTAAATGTCTCCACGATCTGCTTTTGAAGAAATATTGTAGTATCGTGTTTGCATTCTGGCGCCTCTGTCTCAACTGTACAACGCGACGTAGCCTACACATCACACGTTAAGGAATAGGTATGGTACACTGCAATTCACAAAAGTTCATTATTTGCATAAGTCTTGCCGGTTAAACATTAATTCATGCGCTGATCTAACGTGCGCTTTCCTGAGCTCGCGGCATACCCCCGACGCTCACAGGCGCCTGTCAAACAGCGCCTGAATACTGGACTAAGTTATCTTTCGAGTCTTATTATGCTAATACTGTTAAATACACACAATATTTACATAAACAGAAATGGCTATGTCTAAAGTGAAAGCAAACATTTTAGAGAAAATCTGGTGTAATATGCGTCTATAGGCTATTAAACACGTCGCATGGTCTAAAAGCGAAAGTAGGCCTAGTAATACTCGTATTTTCTGCACAATAAGGCGCAATTAAAAGCCTTTAATTTTCTCAATCCGGCCTTTTCTCAAGCCTTATAATCCGAGCGCATTATATATGGATCAATTGCTCGCGCTTATGTCCATCTTATGCCCGCTTTGTCATATGGCCAGTTCAACCTCTTGTAAATCAGGTAGGTTATGTGTGTGACCCGTTCACAGTAACCGGGTCGTCTCATTCAGCCAGCTGTTGCTGTCTGCGAGTCAGGTTGCGAATGTAAGTTACGTGCTCGCCCCAGCGCGCTCACGTGCCTCATCTCTGACGCCGCGCACTCGCTGCATTCCCTTTAGCACATCTAGTGGATGCATAACGCAAACCCAGTCAAACGTTTGAAAAATGTTCTAAAATAGGTCATTGAAGGTGCGCCTTATAGTGCTTATAGTATATAGTACTGCCGCTTGTACTTAAAGGGATAGTTCACAAAAAAATATATCTATATATATGTCATCATTTTGTTTCCGACTAGTCGACTAAGGCCAACAGCGCCAACTAGTGGTTGTGACAGTCGACTAGTCGACTAGTCGACTAGTTGATGAAACCCCTAGTACACAATGAGTCCAATGTATCAAAGTAGTAACTTCAATGTAAGTACATAGTACTTAAAGCCACTTAATATAAAGTGGGACCCAGATTTGATATGCATAGTATTTATAATGTAGCACCGCAGTCAAAATGGGACTAGTTTTTGATAGTTGTGATTTGTTGTTCTTTAGTTTGGTTTGGCATTTATGGGGTCAACATGGCTTTTTCGGATATTTAACCTTCAAATGGTCTTCGTTTCCTGTTTACAGTTCTGGGCTTCAGGGTCTATACGACCTCAACAATTGATTGAGTAATTGTACAAAAACTATACATTTTTAATCATACAAATAATATATCATTTTTTTTGTTTACTTCTCATCTATGCATTAATGCTGTGTTTTTGGAGATATAAAGAACTTTTGTATCCTACCACACAATTCCTCATCTACACAATTAGCTTAAGCATATGAAATATTATTATTATTTTTTTTATGATACATTGCATTTATGCTCTAGTACTAGGCGTTAATTTCTGTGTAAATCAGATTTATGCCAGATTTTTTTTTTTTTGGACACATTTTTTCACATTTCCCATTTATTTCAATGTGGGGTCATATTGACCCCGAAGAGCAGTTTGTTTTACATACCTTTTTTTTTGTGTGTGTGCGTGTATAGCTAGATAATGTATAAAGTCACAAAATCATATTCCACTGAGATAAAGGGAACCTTTTTTTGTTACGCAAAATTCGATTGGGGTCGTACAGACCCCATGACCCGATTGAGGGCTACGGACATAGAGAACGCTGCTTTTGTTATCGTTTTGATCTAAGCCATTCATAGTAATTCTGAATAAAAGGATTACATTTAAAACACGACACTGTAAATGACAATGAATGTCTTTTTTCATTTCATTTTTCAAAGGATGAACTAAGAATAGCCTATAAGAATGACAGTTTGAAAATCAAATGTTAAATTCATAAGATATTTTTCCAACATTGGAAGTTTTCAAAACAATTCCACACATCTAATGGTGGGGTAGTTGAAGTAAGTTTAAGATGCAAAACTGTTACCCAGTCATAGCAGTGGGTGTTTACTTTACGTTAAGTCTTGAATGCACCACGCCCATCAAAATGGAGTGTTCGGAAGAGAGGGTCAAAATCAGGAGAGAAAACAGCTTGTTACTTCTAAATTTGGATGTTTTTTTATGTAAAAATGTTAATAACATTAAGTGGACCTCAGAGAATATTATAAACTAGAAAAGAAAATTCTATAAAACAAAATAATTCCACTATCTGCTCTAATCACTACCTACCAATAGCAACACAGAGGTCATTTATTAATTTCTAAGATAAGACATTTACAAGTATACATTTTTTAAAAAATATATATATTTTATAAATAAAATCATCTGCTTAATAAGACCGAATGCTAGGGCAAAGCAGGGCTAGCAGACCCATTTTAACTGTAGATGGACACTATTACCGAAGTCTCGCAATGACCATTTCAGCACAAAAGCCATGGATTTCTTAACTGAAACAAGAGGACAGATAATTCACAGGATTATGGGCATTAGGTGGATGATTGCACAGGTGCCAGCACAGGGGACAGAAAGGCCATGAAATTACATAGGGGGGCTATGACTCAGTTCCAAAGAGGAACTCCATTGCCCTGCCGCTGATCCCTCTAAATTGGAGCTCTGTTTGGGTTAGGAATGTACACTCACTGTCCATCATGACAAACATCAGACAGGCATTGACTTGCTTACTTACCAAATCTGTTGCATTGTCATTAAAGTGTACTGAAAGAAAAAAAAAAAAACAAAAAAAAAAAAACATGGACATCCCAACCAGGCAATCTTCTATTTTAGACGGATTACATTAGAGACCTAGCTTTAAACAAAATGTGCAGTATTGCATAAATAAGCTGGTCTTCAGCTTCCCAGTGCTTGTTTTTTCCTCCTTAAGTCTGAAAGGTTTCAATGAAAAAGCACAGTCCCCATTGAGCTTTTGAAACTCTGTTATTGGCAGGGTACAGCGTGTCGATTGACAGCAAACTTCAATACCTACAGTATTACAATACCGCCAGAAGGGCTTGGTGAAAAAGGCCTGGGGTAAACTATTACTTTAACAGGGAGTCATTTGTCTCAGGTGTGTTGTGTTTGTGTGTGTGTAAAAGTTAACAGAAAGCTAGTTCTCTTTTTCATTGGACTACTGGGTATTGAAAATCCTTTTTGTTTAAGTTTGCCAGTCACTACCCACAGTGTATGCACAATTCACAATCGCACTATAAATTTGAAATGCCATGGAAACTACTTAACACAACAAGTTAGTAATGTAGAGGTTTGCCAAGCAAGAACATTGTCAGTTGTCACACAGTTTCTGAGTTCTGGGAACCACCTCCTTCTGAAGCCTTTATAACAAAGGGAATACCAACAATATATTACTCCTTTGAGGATGTAGCTTTAAATTTCATTGCTATCTCCACAAGTTCAACAGAATAAATTGAGTTCAAAATCAATGGAGTTCAAAACAACATTCATTATATACTGAGGGTGTAACAGTGCACAGACATGTCAGTTCAGTACGTACCTCAGTTTTGGGGTCATGGTTCAATACGAGTTTGGTACAATAGGAAAAATGGTCACACTTTAGTTAGCGACCAATTCTCACTATTAACTAAAAAAAATTACTTTTGCCTTTCTAATTACTGCGTATTAATTGTTAGGATTTAGGGATACAGAATAAGGTCAATAACATGTGCTTTATAAGGACTTAAACAGCCAATATCCTTGTAATATGCATGCTAATAAGCAGTTAATTTTCATGCACAGCCTTTCAAAGTATACTCTTTTGTCCATAAGAGCAGAAAGATTAATTCTATGCATCTAGTGGACTTCAAGTGGCCAAGTGATTCGCACATGTGCTGTTCTTCTGCTCTTTACCTGTTGTGGCGGTTAGCAAACAGTCTTGCATTGCCACACACACACCCTTCTGGATTGGAGTGTTGATCACCTGTAACTGGCTGTATTTGTCGTCTAACTGTATGCACCGAAACTGTGACAGTTCAGGACGAACACATGTACCATCACACCACTATGCCCAAAAAACAAAACAGAGACATTTTTTCAACAAATGTCTTTTGGTTTGGAATAAGATGAGGGCAGGATAATTATAATTACCTATTATATATTTAAAAAAAAAGATAATTATATATATATATTTAATATTGACATTAAAATAATAGTGACAAAAACAAAGAACAAAATAACTGAAATTTACTAAAATTTGTATATTAATAAAAGGGAATAGTATCTCAATACTAAAGTAACTAAAACAACAGCATTGCAGAGGGAAGAGTGATTCCTCTGATGTTTGCACTCTTCTGGATTAATGGGAGTGGCTTGCGGAGCTGTGCAATGTAGTGCATTGTGGGAGTTGTCTTGCATACAAATGCACCCTAAAGTTATTTTCTGTCTTTTCTTGGTCAAGAGGGCACCAAATTCTAAATTTATTTTACATTGACAACATAAATGACCCACTATTAATAAAGATTACTGTGGAAGTGGGTGAAATGCTCCTTTAACTGCACAGTGAAGTGTCGCTTGTGAGCATTCAAGCAATTTTGCTTTAATCATTACACACCCACCACTTAACTGTCAGATACGTGAGGCAGGCTGCATATCCCAGTTAGCTGTGTGGACCACATTAACCCCATTCCTAACTAAGTAATCCAGTAATTCAGCGCCTTCAGAGGCATTTAGCTGTTACTGAGGCTGACTTTCACACGTCTCTGCCTGAGACGTCACAGCAGATTAATGGTGGATAATCTGGCACCATTAGAAAACTGCAGCTGCTTTCTGAACCCACACCACTGATATAGACCTGACTTATGGACACAGCTAAACTGCTAATGGTGCAAGTATTTGTAGTTCGGTCATTAGTAGGGTAGGACTCTGTTGCAACAAGGGTTAATAAGCAACTCCTCAAGATTTCAGGATTCCTTCTAATTCTTCGCTTGAATGTCATCTAGACGTGTTCTGATAACACTTGCATGATAAAATTAGATATCAATAACATGTAAATGAAAGAGCCAATATGTTTTTAAAACTTTAAGAACTTACTAAATTCATGGGGCATGATGCTTAAAAACATAATAACATAACAAAGGGGCGGCAGTGGTTGAGTGGTTCATGTAGGTTGTCTACAAACCAAAAGGTTGGTGGTTCAATCCCCGGTTCCACCTGACCAAGTGTCGAGGTGTCCATGATAAAGACACCTAACCCCAGCTGCTCCCGACGAGCTGTGCCTTGTATAGCTGACACCGCCGTCGGTATGAATGAGTGTGTGAATGGTTGAATGTGAGGCAAAATGTAAAGCGCTTTGGTGGCCATTAGGTCTATGAAAGCGCTATATAAATGCAGTCCAGTCCAGTCCATAATGTCAATGCAAATTAAATCAAATCACTGTCTAAAAAGCATTGAGCAAGAAGCTAAAAAAGCAAGTTAATGGAAAAGGCAAAAATGAAACATTAAAAATGTAAAATAAAAAGACGCAAAAAGAATGCACCCTGTGTGAAAGACCCTTTATTTTGTTAGTGCACATTACTAGTCTTGTAGTGAACAATTAATTAAAAAAAATAAAAAAATAAAATTGTTGGTCGTTGGGCAAGGGATGGAGCGGAGGTGCAGTAAAATAAAACCCTGCCCTCTACTCAATACTCTGTTTCACTTGGAAACACTTAAAGCTATGGTATACGATGTTAAAAATTGGTCGAGACGGTAGGGAAGTTTTAAAAAACTCATCCCGCCTCTCCACACACACCCCCTCCCCTCTGCGCTACCTGATCCCTGACGTATGTCACGTTTGAGTTCACGTCAACGCAAGATTAGCAACACCATTATAATACTACTAGAATTGCTAAGGTTTTCAGTAATTGTTATTGGAGCACGCAGCACATCTTGTTCAAATTCCGATCGGCTCGAACAGAAACCTCGAACAAGAAATATAATTACTTTGAACCGCGATCGGCGATGCTAAACGGCTAACATTCCAATGCCGACCGGCAGCATGAGCAAGTTGTCAAACTGATAAAAAGCCACGTAACACGTCACACCAACACGTCACACACAAAAGAATAAATAAATGTTTACCTGCTCAACAAAAAGTCATCCGTGTCAGCGTCGTTTTCAGCCCCAGATCTCCCTGAAGCTTTCTCCAATGGTCAATGAAGGACGCTATATTTATCCTACTTAGAGTCCGGCATTCTTCACATTTCTTTTTAATCTCTGATCTTTCCTCCACAGACTTTCTCTTGCGTCCAAACTTTACAGTAGAGGCAAGCAGGGGCCGCTTGCTGTTGTCGTTTATATTTTTATCCATTGCTTTATCCATTGCTGATCTGACGCTACTAGCTAGCTACCATAGACAGTCTGTCAGCTGTTTGCTCACGCACGGAGGGGGGCGGGTGTGGTTGGGTTGGAGACGCGAGCGCCAGGCGGAGTTTCAAGTGGAGCTGGTGATTGGATGAGAGCAGTTGACCAATATAAGCTGTGCGGCCACACAGCTTACATTGGTCAACTTTTCTGCGGCTGTACAGCCAATAGAGTGAATGGATTTTTTTCGTTCTTTTTTCTATTCATATTGTTAGGATTGTACTATATAACCATAACCAGCATCTAAACGAGGATATTAATAATGAACAATCTTTGAAATCGTATACCCTAGCTTTAACAACACTGAAGTTGGTTGCAACTTACAGGTTCACATGTACTGTAAGACCTTACCAAGTTTGATAAAATGGATTGCATTATTTCCACCTGAACAACTGAACTACCTACACTGATTTCTAAAACCACTTTTTATCATTTGATTTACTCATTTACCACTATAATGAGTTTGAATATGGCTTATGGAAAACATCAATATAAAAGATTAACTTGCTCAGTTGACAGCCCTTGTTGCAACACCATGGACATACTGTACCTCTACCATAAATTGATTAACTTTCAGCAACAGTCAGTTATAATTTCATGAATCCGCTTTTGAAGGTCACGTCAATGCAGGTATTGCCATTTGAGTCATTGGTGTGGACGGAGCACTGCAAATATCTTGCACCCTTCTTCCTCAACTACATCATTCTACTCGAATCAATTTGTATGAAAACTATTAATCCAAAAGAACTTAAAGCTTCAGTCAGCCTATTTCCTCTTTGTCACCATCTCTGCTAGAAATCTGCAATTGCAGTCATTCATGGAATTATCAACTTTTCATGAGTTGTCCTTCAACTCCCTCGACACGACACAGTGTGGATGAGCACAATGTTTGAGGAGAGTGTGAGCCTGTCAGTCACCACGCCAGTGCCGATACTGGCATTCAGAATCACAGATTATTCTTTTTGGAAGTATGACCAACATAAGAATTTTCACTGCAAAATCTCCTCTGTACTAGTGAGAAACATCCACTTTTGTTCTGGTTCTGACATCGCAGTGACAGATGACCGCGAAAAGACAGAAAATAATGCAAGTACGCATTTGTATGCAAGACAACAACTCCCACAATGCACAGCTCCACAAGCCACTCCCACAGCACAAACATCAGAGAAATCACTCTTCCGTCTAGAAAGCAAGCCACCAGAGTTTGAAATTCCTTTCACACAAAATTTCTAGTTGGCTGTGGCGAGCAGAACGACATGAGAGGACGACATGAGGCCGGTGGCATGAGTGCTAATGAAAGACACCTGTGAGACGCACCGGTCTCGGATAAAAGGAGGAGCGATGACAGTGCAGATCGCGAGGAGAACAGGCCTGATTTTATGTTGTGTTTCGTTTCTGTTTTGTGTGGCCAGCAGTCGTCCATGAGGGGCTGCTGCCTTATACTGTTGTTTTGTATTTGTTTATTTTATTCAAATGTTTAAATGTTCGCCAGTTCCCACCTCCTCCTTCCCACAACAACGTTACATTGGCAAACTTATTAGTGAATTACTCCTCATTTGTATTTCTTTGTATATGGTGAATTATTGCATGATACCGGGATGTTCAGTCAGAAATGCGGTGCGACACTAGGATGGTTCACATCACAACACAAACGTCTGTGTGCTCGTCTGATTCAGGGATTTCATCCAGGAGAAATTGTTGAAATCAGTAGACGGACTCAGTAGACGGACTTGGTGTCCGTAGCGCACAATGAGAGCACCAGCTCCTCATCCACGACAGTCAAGTCTTCTGCCTCGGCTGCTGCATCAGCCTCAGCTGCTCGTAAAGATATCCACAAACATTGGATTCGAGCAGCAGAATTTCAAAATTTTTCTTCCATATCACGCAACCGTATCAAACTTTTCTTCCATATCATGTTCAGTTTCTTCCGTCATTGTCGTAACTTCCTCTCCGCAGAGCTTGTTAGCTTGGCTTCCAAACAAGATGGCTGATACTGGTTTCAGTATCTGCAAGTGAAGTCCGACCCACTAATCTGTAATAAGTCAGTAGCGTGAGTGGGTCCAAAACCCTGGATAAATGATGAGCTAGTGTTTGTAGTCTTAACCCTTATACATAGAAATGGGACGTCCTGCTTTTTATGACGAAAAATTGTCATTTTGTGGAACACTTAAATCTTTATTTCTCCCATCTCAGGGGAAAATAAGGGAATAAACCATAACCATTCAAAAATATGACTGGGTTTCTAAAGATACAAAGCTTAATGCAAATGGGTGAAGTGTCCCTTTAATTGTTCAGAAAAGCCTTTATGAGATGGGTGAACAGCTCAGTGAACTGCAAGGGCAGGCAAACTCTTTGAGGTTAACCTGAAAAAGTTGGTCAAGTAGCTTTTTAACCTGACCTTAACCTCACTCTGCAGCTGCAAAATAAAACCAGCCTCAGATCAGTGGTGAAGAACTGCCTCAATCAACACCAACCAGAGATGGCCGCCACAGAGCATCTACTGTTTTGACAATTAAAGAGAGCCAGAGAACAAGTATCCCCGTTCAGAAACCCTTGGCAGAGCACACTACCAATTCACCTCCATTTTTAAGTCACTGGGGAATAAAGGTGGCGTTACAGCCAAAGACCCCTATCAAATGGCAATCACAAGGGTCTTCCCTGGCACACAACTCTGACCTGAGAGGGGACTAGATACGTACTGCATCAGAGGTTCCAATTAAATTAAGCTTTCCTTTTTAATAGACAGAGACGTTAAGATTTTAGAGTCTTCGCAGAAGGTTTCCATAAAAGACTTCCATAAAAACATGGCTTCCCAGTAGACATGTTATGCATGCTCCAGTTTAGAGAAATAATGATAACACAATGAAAGCTCTGATACTGGGTCCAGAGAAGCCATTTGAATGCAAGATGTTTCCACTCTGCGTCACCCCTGACACAGTAAGGGGCGCTCCCTCGCCTAAGTCAACACAAAAAGTAGTTTACATTTGGTAATGGTGCGCAATGAGCGACAGTTTGCCTGTCCCCACCAACGCCTGCTTTACAACACTGAGTTTATAGTTTCAGAGTAAAAGTTAAATGTAAACTCTTGATTTATTTTATTTTTTATCATTTCTGATTTTTTTTTTTTTAGTTCACCTGTGAGTTTTGGTGGGATTAAAAGGAAAGCAAATTGCATGGCCCCAGGCACCCCTCACTTCATGAATGGAGTCTTTCTGCGATCAGAGAGAAAACCCTTCCCTGGGGACTTGGTTACCCAGAGATTTTTTTCCCTCTTAAACACACATACAGATGTGCATTTCATGCACATGAAAGCCAAAGGTAACTTCAACTTCCTACTTAGCATAACACTGTGTGAACCCCATAAATTGTGGACAATCCATGGCAAGCTGTTTTAACATGCAATCAATTGAACTAACTTTAATCCATTACTGCTAATAATCTGTTACATAGGTAATCCAAAAGTGACTAGTATATGTTTTAATATCACAAACTTTTTTTTCTAGTACTGTTACTTATTCCAGAAGTGAAAAGTACTCATTCAAATAGTCACTTGACTGGTGGCAATTATTGATCAGACATTAGCATGTGTTCATTTGCTATAATCTCTATTGTAACATTTTTTTTTTGTTCTCAGTGGGTTAGATAAAAAAAAAAAAAATACCAATAGTATGCTAGTATCTAATTGTCACAGGATTCGTTTTAGGCTACTAGTACTACTAACTTCCCAATAATGTGTCCCAAATATGTATTCCATCTTCACTAGGCTACTACAAAAATACGATGCACTGGTTTAATAAACATGAGAGATTAATATGGATAACATTTACCTTAATAGCTATAATTTTCAGAAAAAGTTAAAAAAAAAATATGTTAAAGGCTTGCCATGGCCATTCATTGAAAATATAAACTCTCACACACCCCAACAAGAGAAAAAGACCATGCGATGACTCTCTGAACTTACCATTTTGCTCTTTAGTGCTGGCGTGGTGAATCTTACTGATGTGACTCGATTCCGCCACCGACTCATGCTGATGAAGAGACGATATAAGAATCAAGAGAAGCATTGGAATCATTTGGATTAATGGTGGCTGTCGGTGCTTTTAGGCACTTAGTATGTGTTGTTTCAATCACCATGCAGAAATATTGTTCGTGAGACGCGTATCCAACTTTGGACACATCTGTAAGAGGCACGCGTAAAGTAAAGTCCACATAATCCTGATCGGGCAGTGACTCTACAGCGACAACTTCTCTGTGGAAAGTTTCCCGAGAGGCATCTGAGCAAAGATCATTAATTGCTGTTAACTTAGTGAGCGCACACCTGTTCGCCTAAACACGAGTGTTCAAGAGGACAGCTGGAAACGTGCACGGTTGTAATTTAAGATCTGCTTAGACGCGAAGCTGCCTTTGCTTGTTTGCAAAGTGTTCGACTTTCCCATGCGAACACTTTAGTCCACTCGGGTAAGGCGACCGATTCTGGGTAAAACGCCACTTGTTGCGTTGCACGTCCAACTTTCTGAAGGAAATCAATGTCTTGAGGTGGCTCCGAGTGTTTGGCAAGCGCAGACGGCCGACTGGCGACACAACAGGTGCTGCACATAAAGTAAAAGTTCCCCGTGGAGGAAACTCCCCGGAGAGGCGGGGACCATTCACAAGCTGCTGCCGCTGCAGTCTCTTTAGAGTGAAAGACTATATTTCTCACATATCCACCACTTCACAAGTATATATGTGTATGTATGTGTGTGTGTGTGTGTGAGAGAGAGAGAGAGAGAGAGAGAGAGAGAGAGAGAGAGAGAGAGAGAGAGAGAGAGAGAGAGAGAGAGATATCATGTGTTTATGGGTCAATGATGTCTTTGTTGATCGAATAACTGTTCAAAAATACAATATATTTAAAAACACTTCTGATGAATATATTTTCTTTATTTAAAGTTTATATAGCCTACATTTTGTGGCGCTTAGTCAAAAATATGTAGGCTATGTGGTGTAACTGTCCAGAAGATACATTTATAATTAAATAAATGAAAGGAAGACTGGACGAATTATTGGTAGTAGCCTACTGCAAAAAGTTAGCATATGATCAAGAAGTTATGACAACATGTGTTTTTACATTGCTCATCAAAATAAGTTAATGTTCAACTTTTAAAATAAGTTATACATGTCATTTTATTGTAACTTAAGTTGAAATCACTTCCAAGCTGATTGTACTTAAAAATGTAAAGTAGTTCACTTTAAAAAAAAAAAAAAAAAACTTTTTCTGATAATTTACTCACCCCCATGCATGTCATCCAAGATGTCCACGTCTTTCTTTCTTCAGTTGAAAAGAAATTAAGGTTTTTGATGAAAACATTCCAGGATTGTCGCAAACACAATGTCGCAAACACAATGGCACAGATGAAGTGAATGTGTTATCTATAAAACTGTTAATAAATATAAGAAAAGACAAAATTTGCATAGATTACCGATCAAAGCACAATTAAACATGCGTTAGGATAAGACAGAATATTCCGTGTTATAGACATAAGTTACAGTGTTCACAGCTGAGTTGGCATTATTGAATAACAGATATTGTGGAAAACATGATTTGGTGAAAACATATTTTTCTGAAAATATCCGAGAGATGGAGCTGTCAGATTTAACAAATAAATGAATAAAACAAGTTGATGCTGCTGGGCAGATCTGTGTTAAAGATAACAAAAAAGTTTTTCTTAATACTTGTTTAAAAACATGCACTTGAGTAAATTACTGTCACAGTTGTTTTAGTAGCCTACATCATAAAGGTCAAAGAACCGAGGGGTCAAAGGATAATAACATCATGGGTGTATTCATACTACACCTGCATTGCCTAACACATACTCTATGGGAAGTAAGTTTGTCGTCACATTCACAAGTACAGGAATTTGGATGCAAATACTAAAAAAATGGATTATATTGTATGATTACAAATTCTTACTTGAATTTTGGCCGATTTAAGGTTGCCCTGCAAATGGTCTTGAAGGTGCATTAATCATTAGATCATGACTGCTTCACTTGTTTATGGAAAGGCTTCCTGAACGGGTGTGAGCATTTGGAACAAGGCCTAACACTATTATTATCACAAGTTGTGGCCTGTGTCGGTCCTCATGTCTAAATCTTTTCATCATTTTGTTTAGCATTTCATCATTGTGAAGTCAGAACAATGCCTAAAGCATCTTAAGGGAAATGCTAAAGACCTCTTAATTTGTCAAATCAAAGCTGCAGACAGTGCACTTACTCCCCTTGTGTAAGTTATTTCCTTCTCCCTACTCAAAGCATCAACCCATGAAGTTCTTTTCATGTGGTTAATCTCATCTCCCTGTTGTCAACGTGTTCCTTACATGCCTGTTAGGTGTAGATTTCTATGGCAGACTAAACAATCAGAGAAGGGCACACATTGAAATGATTCTCCCAGACAAATGATGCAATGGCAAAGCAATTCACTTTCAGTAGATGTGGGGAAAAAACTGAGACCAGGAGCACGTGGAAGCTGAAGATTTTAATCTAGCTGACATGATCAGATTTCTTAGTTTGTTATTCTATTGTTGCGTATTTGTATTGTGTGACATATAATGGTGATAGAGATGGTATATATTAGTGCTGTCAAATCGATTAACCACATTTAATCTCATCTAACATAAAAGTTTATTATTATATTTATATAAATTGTATATATGTCTCAGTGGTTGTGTGTGTATAAATATACACACATACACGTGTGTGTATGTGTATGTGTGCGTGTTTGTATTTATACAGTATACAGCACAGGAAGAGGTACATGGTACAGTAAAATGGTTCAGTAGCATATAACGTTTTGTTTAAAAAAAATTGTAAAAGTATTTAGGTATGCAGGAAATATTGCTTATGAATCCCTCAGCAACAGAAAACGGAAAGGTGCAGTATGTGGAGCTGCCAGACTGGAGGTCATGTGCAGACTATGGGAGAGTATCATATTCCATCCCAAAACCTAGAGCAGAGATGTCAGCACCTCTGCCAGAAAGAATCTCTCCCTCTGTCTGTATGTGGGGGAGGGGTTTCAGTAGATTGCTATTTTGCCTTCTTCGAGACACTACAGTGTTTTATGCTTCCATGGTGGTCCTGCGAGTCACTTTGATATTTAATCTAGATAAACAGTGAATTTATAAACAAGGCTGATATTTGTGGATTGGATGAAGAGGTCACTGTGGCCAATGCCTGTCTGGCCAGCAAACACGAAGTTAGCATCCGGCAGTAGCATTAGCAAAAACATAATCTTTGTTTGTTTGCAATGAGGTCATAGAGGAAACTAAACTAAATAAATGTCGTCACCTTCAGTCCAGTGCAGTATCCATTATGCAGGATGTGACACGTCAGATTGGCAAAAACAGGATATGCATCACCAAGGGACATGACAATAACATATTTTCTGTCAACACTATTATAGTATTTTTAATGTTTTGAATTATCTTTAATTTTTTATTTCAGTTAGTTGCTAAGGCAACTTCATTTATCATTTAATATTTAAATTTCATTTCAATTAAAGATTTCAAATCACTAAGATAGGCTATCTATCACGTTTAAAGTATTATGGCTTGTGGTCGTCGTCATTGTAAAAGTCCTGTTGTATTTAACATCTGATCTCTATTTACACTGCACTGAACATTTGTAGCTGTTAAAGGTCCATGTAATTTGTCAGGTGCGTAAATTCTCTCCTTGTAAATTGCTTATAGTCTGTGATTTGGTTCTGTTCCAATGTGAGAAAAAGGGTAATGACCTGCTCACTTTGATTCATTTGGGTCTGTTCCAAGAGACATAAAAAGAGAAAGTAGCAATCTCTTGTTAAGCTGCAATTATGACCTAAGGAATTATCACACTCCATACTCCATACTTTAGATTTTATCAGATAAAAATGTTGTAAAGTGAACAAGTGAGATGAGAGTCTATAGGATGAGTCATGTTGCTAGCACAGATTTTTTTGGCAAGAGAAATCCTTGAAATAGACATTGTCAGGGGAAAGTGAGACATAGATCTGTGATATACAGATTTATTAATAAACTTCCTGTCATTTTTGTAAACACTAACTTCTTTAAAGTCACAATTCAATGTAGGTAAAACATTAGGAAGACCTTTTACCATATGTAATGCAACATGAAAGTCCCTTTCTTAGATGTCATTTCTCACTCTGTCTTGTGGCTATATATGATGACTAATCCCAAGTCCCAGTTATTCTCCATCCGGGTCTTCCTGATATTCCTTCAGAGCCCTGGAATGCTTGTCAATCACCTCTTGAGAGCTACCACAACATCATACGGCAAAAAGAAGTCTTTGAGAAAGCCAAGTGGTACCTTCACCTTATGATTGCTTTTATTTTCATTTTAAACATGGAATGTGTCAGCACAGGGCTGTGTGGAGACTGATAGCGAAGTAGTGGAGTCTGCATGCCAGATATAATACCACATTCGATTTGCTAGAATGTACTGACATATTTTTGGACCGGTGCAGCATTGTCCGTCAGCTAGGTGGCTCTTGGCCAAACATTGAACGTTTTCTGAAAACAAGCCTCCCTTTGTTCTGGGTAATTTATTATTGCGGGTTTTAATTTAACCGGTATTAATCAGTATTTAGTTTATGTGCACGCGTTATTAATATGATCTACTCCACTACAATAAAAAAAAACAAAAAAAAAAACAGAGATTAAGGAGTCCATTGTCCTGACAAAGCTGATGAAGGAGGTACCGTATATTGTGTATAATTCACATGAACAATGCCTGAGGTCTTTGGACCTCTGCTAAATGCCAGAGTGCCCTGTGGAAATTTGTGAATGTCTATGTTTTCATTCTCACTCAATCCAAACACCATTCACCCAAGATCCTTGGAGAGCATCTGCATGGGTGAGAAATGTGTCTGAGCCTTACTTTTGGTTCACATCGTAATGTCTGTGTTGTCTTTTGAGGAAGTAATAGTGTTTGACTTCGCTCAGAGAGAATTGGCCTCAGTTTGGAACTGTACCTGCCATGATGGCTACATTCCACCCTGGGCAACCTCTATGTCTCTATGAGCTTAAAAATACAGACATCCACACTTTGTGTCTGTTGGCTGGCACACTTGTGTTTTACTTTGCTTGTTACTTTAGTACTCTGGTTTAAGCCTAAAAAGGCACCATTCATTCATCTACACTCTAAACAATGCTGGGTTGTTTTAACCCAAATTTAGGTAAAACATGGGCAAACCCAAATGTTGGGTTAAAACTGCAATTAAAAATTTTACAGTAGAAAGTGAAAGTTGAAGTTTGAAATTACATTTTTTAACCCATCATTTGGGTTTGCCCATATTTTACCCAAATTTGGGTTAAAACAACCCAGCATTGTTTAGAGTGTAGGAACATGTATAGAATAAAGTATTAATCTTTATTATTATGCACAAAAAGTTCTTATTAAGTTTTTTTTTCTTTATTTGTTGCATTATTGTTTTCAGGCATGCATTTATTCTTTATTGCATATGGCATTGCATTTTTCTTTCTTGCATTCATTCTTTTTTACATGTATTGCTTTTTACAAACAATTCATTTTTGCATGCATTCTTTCTGTTCTTTTATATATATATTTTTTCCATTTCAGAGGCACAATTTCAAGCACTCTACAGACAGACCCAATAATGAATACTGCATGTGCTGATCATTTTCGGGGTTATAGGCTACTTGTGCTGAAATGGCAGAGCAAGTGTGATGGCCTTGCATTTCAGTGATGCTGTGTGATTAATTCTGTCCTTGTACAGTGTGCTACTGCGCATGTTGCATGACATGTGCACACACAAGTCTCCATCTTGGCAACCCTGCCTTTACCAATGCAATAGGACAGCTGAAATATATATTCTGCTCAGGATATTAAACTAGAAAAAGATAAGGGGGAAAAAAAAACAGACGTGAAACGCCGTCGTAATGAATGAAGATCCGCGCTGATTGAGGCAACGACTATCAGAATGCGATTTAGACGGCGACTTGTTTTGAAGGATCTTTGATCGATTGCACTGTCAGCCCTACCGAATCGAATCTGTGGAACAACAACCGTTAATATTTTGAAATGGTGAGTGAAACCACACGTATTATTTTAAAGAAAGCGCGTTTTAAATGTCTATTATGAATGGGGACGCGCTGCGACGCGTCATTCTGTGTTGTAGTCTACTATCATCCCAACCCCCTCGTCGTCATGGAGGATGCTGTTGCTATGTTTTCCCCCTTCCCCATATGCTGCCGTAACCTGCTTTATTTTCTATCACGCCTGAATGCAACTTCTTCAACTGCTCAAAGCATCCACAGGTCGTTGTTGTACCTTTACGCATTTGCATGAACATAAAAATATAAACACAGTTTGATGTGGTGAGATTTCCAATCTCTGTCAGGCTAAAATTATGTAATATATGGCGAATTCTAATTGTATTGTACAACTGAAAAATGCTAACCATAACGTATCATGAATTGAAGAGTTCAGATGCAAAAGCCTCTAAATGCCATTTGAAATTTTCTTCTTTAATGATGATTTTTATCAAACTTGTATATTTAAGTTCAGTAATTTCACTTAAATAACAATTAATAGGTAATTATCATTGCCATTTAAGTGAAATCACTGAACTTACATATACAAGCTTGATAAAAATCATCATTAAAGAAGAAAATTTCAAATGGCATTTAGAGGCTTTTGCATCTGAACTCTTCATATATATATATATATATATATATATATATATATATATATATATATATAGTATTTACTTAATAGGCATATAATCGTGGTTTTATTTTTTTATTAGTAATATATTCAATTTGTATTTACTATTATATTATAAATATTGTTATAAAATACATTTATGTTTTATTTGGTTTCATTAAACATAAAAGTACAGCAGGCCTAAATTAATATACTGAACATAATTTTATGTATTTTCCACTTCAGCCTCTAATACATCATTTATAGACCTTAAAAACATCTTTGTTATAGGTCAGAGATCATGATATGAAAAATGTGCATCATGTGAACAGTGAGTTTTTTTAAAGGGTCCTATTGTACTTTGCACTCTTTTAACACACACCCAAAGGAGGGGTGTTTCAAATAAAGGGTCAAGTTTACTTAGATTTAGTCTGTCGTGGAAATAAAGCAAAACCATCTCTCCTACCCTTAAATTGTCTTGCATAGTTAAACATTATAATCCACTACTTGAATTTCTATTCTTCATATGTAAACCCGCAGTGTTTGTCTGTGTCTTTCCAAGGAGGAACATTAAACTCAAATTGCCGTGACCGCTGAATCAGTGAAAAGAAAGGGAATGAGAGCGAGAAAGAGATTGAGAGATCTGTAGAGATGTGAAAGAGAAACACAAGCATCTGGTGATAATAATAGTGATGGAATGAGTGAGAGATTGGAGGAGTGTGCGTGAACACTGGCCGGTTTCATTTAAGATGATGATCAATGCACTGGCGTAGAATCAGGCCTCCAAAGGGTGGAGGGTGGAAGAGTCTAGACAGGGGAGTTTTCTGGCAGTGTTCCTCAGAGGGGAATTCCTCATGCTGATTTTTCCAGTTGCTTCCTCTCCTTTACATTTTAGACACTCATCGATGGCTGTGTTTTACAGGAGGATTGCACATGTGTACATTGTCGAATAGATCAGTATTTGGCATATTTCAATACTAGGCATGCATGTGTCTTCGCTTTTTAAAATCAGTTTTTTAAATACATCTTAAATTCAGTAATCTTGGTCATTTTCTGTTGATGTACATGTACAGTATGATATGGTTATGTATCTGTAAAGCACTGTTTACATGGGGCAAAATTATTCATTTTGATAATAAATTCATTAATTGTCCTATGTGATTTGTGGAAACAACGTGCTTTACTGTAGAAACATATTGTCAGACCACCCACTGTGACAGACACCCATAACCATTTTTAAAGCGGTCACAGATACAACAGAACCACATTTCTTGTGCCAACAGACCATCAGTCTCTAAGACAGCCTGTGTGTCCTCTGAGAGAGGACGTTGTTATCCATTGAAAGCCTGGGAATATTAGTGCTCTGCTTATAAAATGTCTTTGAACAAAGACAATATCAGAATATTTTTTTTCTAACAATAAAATAGTGACATAACATGCAAATGCATTGTTCTTGACAATGCCCACTGACAATGATATGCAGTTTAAAAAAAAAAAAATAAATCAGCTTAATGTATGTAATATACCGTACGTACTTTTAATGTATGTGTTGTTTCTCTTCCAGGCTAAGTTGAGTTGCTGTAACATGAAGGCTCTAAAGGTGATTTTCTTGTTGCTTATCATCTGTGTCTGGATGGAAGGAGGATTCACCAAAGAAAAATCTGCTAAGAAAGGAAAGAAGAAAGGAAAACAGGTTTATTGTCCTTCGTAAGTGTATTTACATTCAACATTTTCTGGCAAAATGGTGCAATACATTATGTTGACTTTCTGGCTATTCAACAGGGAACTATAGAAACAGCTCATAATGTTGTGTGTGTACTTCACACTGTGGCAAAATTAAGTAATTCACTACTCACTAACCATCAGTCACAATGGTTTTATATAACTATGCATGGTGACTTTTAACGAGCATGACTTGATATAATTTTGTTTTTGTTAAAGACTGCACCCTAACACTCCTTGTTTCTGGTCCCTTCAGGCAGCTGTCATCAGAGGATCTGGCACGGGTTCCAGCGAACTCCACCAGCAACATCCTTAATAGACTTCTGGTCACCTATGACCCAAGAATACGACCCAACTTCAAAGGTCAGTAGGCTACCCTTGCAGTGCCATGATATATATATATATATATATATATATGAAGAGTTCAGATGCAAAAGCCTCTAAATGCCATTTGAAATTTTCTTCTTTAATGATGATTTTTATCAAACTTGTATATTTAAGTTCAGTAATTTCACTTAAATAACAATTAATAGGTAATTATCATTGCCATTTAAGTGAAATCACTGAACTTAAATATACAAGCTTGATAAAAATGATCATTCTAGAAGAAAATTTCAAATGGCACTTAGAGGCTTTTGCATCTGAACTCTTCATATATATATATATATATATATATTACACGGCTCTGTGGAATACTTGATTCTGATTGATTAATCGTGTCATCCAGCGGTATGTTATTCCTCAATAACAACCGGTAAAACTGATAACAGGCTTATTCCAGCAACTGAGGTCAGCGCTATAAGCTTGCTAGGAAGGTTTTCTTTGTGAAAGTTTTGAAACCCTGTCGGGGTTTATTCTGCAATAACAACCGTCTGAATGTACAATATCCCTTACATATTCACCTGCCACTTTAGGTACACCTGTTCAACTGCTTGTTAACGCAAATAGCTAATCAGCCAATAACATGGAAGCAACTCAATGCATTTAGGCAAGTAGACATGGTCAAGACGATCTGCTGATGTTCAAACTGAGCATCAGAATGGGGAAAAGGGGTGATTCAAGTGACTTTGAATGTAGAATAGCTGTTGGCCAGAAAATATCCAGTGAGCGGCAGTTCTGTGGGCGAAAATGCCTTGCTGGAGAATGGCCAGACTGGTTGGATCTGATAGAAAGGCAACAGTAATTCAAATAGCCATTCGTTACAACCAAGTTTTGCAGAAGAGCATCTCTGAACACACAATATGTTGAACCTGAAGCAGATGCGCTACAGCAGCAGAACAGGAAACTGAGGCTCAACCCTGCGGGCTCACCAATATTGCACACTAGAAAATTGGAACAATGTTGCCTGGGCTGATGAGTCTCGATTTCTGCTGCGACATTCAGATAGTAGGGTCAGAATTTGGTGTAAACAACATAAAAGCATGGATCCATCTTGCCTTGCATCAACGGTTCAGGCTGCTGCTGGTGGTGTAATGGTGATATTTTGCGATATTATTGCTGCTGACCATGTCCATCCCTTTATGACTACAGGGTATCCATCATCCAATGGCTACTTCCAACTGGACAACATACCATGTCGCAAAGCTCAAATCATTTCAAAATGGTTTCTTGAACATGTACATAGCCTACATTTATGTACAATTATTAAATAACAAATCATGTTTTATTGATGTGTATACATTGTGGCAGATATTTAATTCTAGGTTATGCTACTGTTGGCAGTCGTTCCAGATATAATGAAGCAAGTTGTAAAGAGTGAGAAGCTCTGTAGCCTCCTGCTCTCTGGCATTCAACGTAAACGTTGGCCTTGATGTGGTCTGAGTGTTAAGAGCTCACTGTATGATTCAGTGTTATTAGTCTCTATGGCCAGCCAGCTGCTCTTCATATCTGAGCAAGATGAAAGCTCCTGGCAGTCATTAAAGTCAACATAATCATCTTGGGAATAGGAATAGCAGTGGAGTAGCTGTAGCGTTTTCCTATAATGCCATGCTTTCCATTTAGTACATATAAAGTGCAAACACATGTTTCATGGTATAGTTAAATTTATCCATAATAGTCTGTGAGAAAGTGCACTGCTAAAAATGTTGGAATGACTTTCGGGCGTCTTGTTTTATAGGTGTGTTTGATGTGCTGAGATATCAACTTTGTTTGTTTTTTTCTTTTGTTTTTAGGTATTCCTGTTGAGGATCGTGTGAACATTTTCATCAACAGCTTTGGGTCCATCCAAGAGACCACTATGGTATCACTTTCATTCACATTCCAATACTCAATATAGTGTCACGTCGTGATCCTTCAGAAATCAGTCAAGAAACATTTATTATTATCAATGTTGAAAACAGTTGTGTTGCTTAATATTTTTAACTGTGACACATTTTACAATTTAGCAGGATTCTTTGGTAAATAGAAAGTTTACCGAATAGAAAACAACAGCATTTCTAAAATAGAAATGAGTCAGCCAACCTATCACTTTTGATCAATTTAATTTATCCTTGCTAAATAAAGGTATTCATTTCTTTATTTTTTGAAATCTTGAATGGTAGTGTGTATATATTTATATATTTTCCCCAACATTTGCTGTTTTAAAACAAATATTTGCACTGTAATGTAATGACTAAATCACAATCAGTGCAAGTTCTTTCCTATCACTCAATTTCTTTGTAAAGTTACTTTACAACTTTATAAGTTTATAAGTTAAAAAGTGGAATTTGTCCTATAACGTATTCAACATTTTTGATTAGAAAATGGATTTATGGACTTATCTTGAAAAAGAAATTACTTCACAACTGCTAAAAAAAGTATGTTTTATACTATAGTATGAATGTAATCTGGAGATACTACATTTGCCATGTTGTCCTTATCACATGATCTACCAGCGTCAGTTGTGTTGTATCTTTGAAATGGACTTTGGTCGCTTCACTGCCATTCATGAATGCCTCGTTAGTAAAGTAGTAGTAATAGTGTAGTAAAGTGTCTATCGGATGCACACTTTAGAATCTCTTTACACTTCGGAAATACTATGTCATATGGTTAGTTTATGCCTATACTCTTTTATGAGGACTGACATACTTCTTTTGTCACTACTATTTGCGATTTTGGATGCAGCCAACCTTTTGAAGTGTTCTAAACAAAACTTTTGACCATATTGAGCCATATAATTTCCTCAGTTTTATTCTGCTGTTTTTGTTTTCTGATTTTTTTAAATGTCATTGCGTTGAAATCAATAATTAGATCAAACCAATATCTCAAACATTTTATACAATATAAATAAATTGTAGTTTCCAAAATCTAAGATTGTCAGGGGAAACTCCTACAAGACAGATGATTGGATTCATGACTGTGTGCTTTATTTTGGGCTTACTGTGTTTACTTAACACTCCACCAGTGGGGAAAAAAATCAGCTCCAGACCCCACAATCTTACGCCTGACTCCTTATGAGCAGTGACACCCATAAACAACCCACCATGCCAGAGTGATCTGACTCAGATCACCTCTACTGAAAATATTTCCCCTGGAAAGACATCAGAGGGCTGTTTTTTCTGCCCAGCACTGCATGGTGTCATAGGTTGAATATAGTTTGCAGTCAGTTCTACAGGAGCGCTGCGTGACACCAGGCATTGAAAAAACAATCCCACTTTGTTGTTGCATCATTCTGCTGTGGTTAACATTAATATGCACAGGTGGCATAAGACAGGAATACAAAAAGGCTATTCATAACCTCTCCAGAGACCCGACTAGTAAGAAGCGTGCCACTTTGCCTACCATAGCTTATGTTGCACTTTATTAACATTTGGACAAGTCCAACAAAACAACACGTGTAAATATGACACAATGCTATCCATAGTGTGTGTAATACATCCTGAAGGTTCCTGGTCAGAGCATGGAACGAAAAACAGGACATACCAAGATGTGAATCATACACGCAAAAACACTTAGGGACCGAATTCACTTGACTCAGTAGTGCAGCTGGAGTGTGGCCATTTTATTTGGCATATCATCTGTCTTCACAGTATCAGCACTAGCAAAACAAGCTCCACTAAAAAAATGCCACTTCAAAGCTTTTTGCTCACGCAAGCCGGCAGGGAAGCTGGGGCCAATCTGACTTAACGAACCCTGTGTTTTCCCCAGTGTAGGTGCTCACATACAGCATGAGCCCTCATTGCAGCACCCGTTGCATGCCTCTGATGTTTGCGATAGATGGAAATGTAAATAGGAGCAGCTCTGAGCGCCCCAGCTGCGCGACTTCAATACCAGCCATTATTGGAGCCTCGATACTTCAGAGACAGGTGTTTTTTAAAACATCACTCAGAGGTTGTGAGAAATGCTGGTTGCCATAGCGTTTCCTAATACACCTGGGCTTCTCTGTCACTCTAAGAACGAATGTGCTGTTTTTGTGTCCAAGTCGAGGCTTCTCACAGTTCCTGTCACGTAACACAAAGACAGGTGTCAGCCCTGCTAACTAGCACCCACCCAGAATCACCACCCAGTTTTCGGTGTCACAAAACACTGAAGTTGTTTTTCAGGTTTAATTCAGTTCAACAGATTTATGAAAACCTTCGGCCTCTATTTTATAGGACTATCGTGTCAACATCTTCTTGAGACAGCGCTGGAATGACCCCAGACTCCGGCTCCCTCAGGACTACAAGTCGGACTCGCTCACCGTTGACCCGACGATGTTCAAATGCCTTTGGAAACCCGATCTTTTCTTTGCCAACGAAAAGAGTGCTAACTTTCATGACGTTACTCAGGAGAACATCCTGCTCTTTATCTTCAGAAACGGAGATGTACTCATCAGCATGAGGTGAAGTTTAATGCTCTCTTCCTGCTAAGCACCCAACCTCTGTCTATATGAATGGTGACAAATGAGGTCTAAATGCCGGTAACACCTACTCACATTATTTACCACAGCAATCTAAACAAAGCAAACACAATAGTTTATCAGATGTCAAGGCCTTATAAAGTGGAACAAATTACCATGCAGTTTAATCGGAAGGTGTTAAAATGAATGTGTCAGCCAGGTTCCTAACTTCATGGAAGATTTTTTTCCGATAAATATATATACAATTATGAGATAAAGTTTAAACTAAGATACAATGTCACACTGTGAGAAATGATGTTACAAAAAAAGTGTACTTACAGTAGTTTCACTTCAGCACAATTAAATATACTTAAGGCCATGTCCACACTAATACGTTTTCCTTTGAAAACGTATATTTTTCTCTCCGTTTTGGCCTTCCGTCCACACTGAGACGCCGTTTTAAGTCAACAAAAACGTATATTTTGGAAAACGCTCTCCAAAGTGGATAAATTTGAAAACACCGTTTTCGCAATGTAGTGTGGACAGTGAAACCGGAGGTATTTCAAAACGATGACGTAAGTTTAGTCATGTGATCCATGTAGTACCAATAGATATTAATGTTTATCGGTATTGTGCCTGTTATGTGTTATTCATTTTTACACTATTGCTAAAATATGTCACTTTCTATGTTACTTAATATGTACTATTCTTCATAGCACTACAAAGATGACAGATAATGTACTTACATTTGCTGTCCTGCTGCAAAACAGGAGAGCAGTTGCGTTTTAGACCAAATATAGGGTGACTGAATGCGACCTGGACGCATCAGTGATGGTGAGATATTTTGCTAAATAAAATTATCCTGTTATTGTGCGATAACATTATTATCTCAGTGAGCATTTGTAAAGTTTCACGCATGCGCAGTAAAGTGAATTTAGAAGTTTCTCATCCACACTGAAACGTCGGAAAACGCTAGTGTGGATGGAGAGCGTTTTTAAATGAAAACCCCGTTTTCAAATGTATCCGGATTAATGTGGACGTAGCCTAAATATATCTTTAGTTGGACCTCAGCATACTTCCAGATAACAAAAGTACATTAAGTACAAAATTAGTTGTTCCAATTTAGACTTTGACTATATAATTTTAGAATATCAAAAGTACAATTGCAGGGTATTTATATTAAGTATTTGTAGTATACTTATCATAAAATACATGTATTTCAAATGCATTTTGGTATGTTTATTTTTCACTAGGGCATGTTTGAATGACAGGTAACATAGTGACTGAATCCTCCTCTGAGCTCTTCTTAATGCTTTTAATAAACCTCAAGGGACTTAAAGTGATCTGAGAATTGGAGATTCGATCTGTTGACCCTAGAGTTTCACCTCACCACTGACACCTTAATTACAGCTCCTGCTATATGATCCCATGTGAAAGTTCAGTCCTTTAGTAGTGGCGAACACCTCTTGTCATTATCTGTCCAGGGCTTTATCTACAGTTCCTGCTGAGTGAATGAAGCTCTCCGTGTCTTCTAGCAGTCAGTGACTACACCTGCTGTAGATCTGTCCACAGAGTGCTGTGTTTTACAAACTCTTTTTTTAAACATAGTAAGGTTTATCAGCATGGATAGAAACAAACAGTTATTTATAAAGGTAAACAAGGCTCTGATGCTTTAAACAAATTTGAGTTGTTTCTGTGGTCACCTTGCCAGCCGTGCATTGGACATGGTCCAGTTTAGGGTACAGATAAAATCTAAACACTGGCACAGAGCCATTTCAGTCTGGATGGGAATTTTTTTAAGAGCATCACGTTTTGTTCTATTATGTCTGAGGCAATGTATTTCCATAGTGTTTTTTCCATGCCACCCGTATCACATCATGAGCTGGGTGGTCTTCTATGAGCCCTTTCTCACTTTTGGCATTGGCCCAGGATGCCTTGCTCTTTCTCTGGGTATGTGTGTGGCAAGGGATTACTGTCTTAATGAGAGTCTTTCAAAAAGAAACACGAGTGTTTATTTCATATTATACCTCCCTGAAACAAATTATGCCTTTACTCGTCCATTGAACTTCAACTTCCTCCCTACATGTACATATGAAGAGTTCAGATGCAAAAGCCTCTAAATGTCATTTGAAATTTTCTTCTAAAATGACCATTTTTATCAAGCTTGTATATTTAAGTTCAGTAATTTCACTTAAATGACAATTAATAGTTAATCTTCATTGCCATTTAAGTGAAATTACTGAACTTAAATATACAAGCTTGATAAAAATGATCATTTTAGAAGAAAATTTCAAATGGCACTTAGAGGCTTTTGCATCTGAACTCTTCATATCTATTTTCTCTTTTTCCTCAATGAAACTGACACACCTTATAGCCATCCTTATCACTTTTCTCCCATAACCTCCATTCCAAACATCCACGATACTGGAGGAAAATTATTCAATATTTTTATTTTGGAACGTTCTGATTTTAGGTCATCTTGAAAATAATTTCAGAAATGTCAATGTCAGAATGACACTATACATATGAAAAGGAAACACAGGTAACACAGATAAACGATGTTCAGTGTTGTAGTACTCAAGACTCGGACTTGTCTCGGACTCGGTCTCGAGACCATATTTTAATGGTCTTGGTCTTGTCATGGACTCGTGTCCATTTTCCACTCGAGTTCAATTCAATATATTTTTTCATGATTATTAATGTATGTTAATAAAATATTTCTTTAAATTGATTGACACGCCCTGTGATTGGTGATTTTCTAGTGCGCAACTGCGCATGACAAATTGTAATAAAATTACTTTTAACACCACCTACTATGTGGCCTTTTTACCCTAAACTGATCATATTTTTTAAACTCTAAGTAAATTCAGTAAAATAAAAAAAGGATTTCTCTAAGTAAATAAAAGTAAATTAGGTAATCAACCCTCACTCGTCTCGGTCTCGACTCGGACTCGACCGTCTCTGGTCTCGGTGTCGACTCGGACTCGAGTGAGGTGGTCTCGACTACAACACTGACGATGTTTATATACATACAGTATATAAACACCAAATTGTATGAAACAAGTACATTTAAAATAATAATCAAACATATGGCATTTCATATACTGTACTATATACAGTATATTTATTTATGTTATGTATTGGACATTGGATACAGCAAGTCTCCTCCCCGAAACTGCTTTTTGCTACTTAATACATAGACATTGAATTTTTTCACAACTGCAGTGTTTATTTTCAAGGGGAATCTTTATTTTGAGTCGTTGTTTGTCCCCCTGTCTTTTCCCATCTGACCCCATCTTACATCTTAACCCTTGTCTGTCTATATCTCTCTTTCTCTCAGATAATTAGTATAACACACCGTAAAGATACATCTTAAACAAAAACAGATCTTATAGGGAAGCAATGATTCTCTCTAACCTCTCCCAGGCCTTTACAAAAATAACTTGGCACAGTGCTTTAGCTGCTTGCTGTGCACTAAAGTGCTGTGTGGCCTTGCTGGTGTAAAAAGTAGCTCTTTGCTGCATCTGAGGCTGTACTTGTCAGATTATGAGAGAAAACCAAAAAGCTTTCATGTGTTAATGGTGTTTTAAATAAACATGCCTTGGTGTGCATGCTGTGCACAAAAAAGGGAACTGCATGAAGAATTTATTCTACTGTTGGGAAAGACATTTTATGTCTGTGGCATCTATGAAATCGGTTACATTTTGATTGACTTTCACGTAGTGCGATCTGCTGATAATGGTCTAAAATAGTCTTTGCAAGGTTGCTGAATATATTCATATAAGTGAACGTTTCAGCATGAAACTTTAAATGCAGTTATTTGAATCTGTTATTTTTCTATTTCACTCACTATTATTTTATATTACTTCTTATTATGGTTTTGAAATGGAACGTTTAACAATCTCAAATGTGAATGATGTTTAGGTATACAGTTGGTCAAAAAAAGAAAATGCCTCATTCCAAATTACTACTCTGATTCAAACTGACCAAGCTGCTGCATGATTTATTTTCTCAAATGTATTGTCTCTCTTTTTTTAGGTTGTCCGTCACCCTCTCTTGTCCACTGGACTTGACTCTCTTCCCCATGGACACCCAGCGATGCAAAATGCAGCTTGAGAGCTGTATGTGAATATGAATAACATAATTTAGTAGTGTTTAGAAGAAAATAATACATAATATATATATATATATATATATATATATATATATATCCCGATCATGTTTCCCGATCATGACAAATGTGGAAATATGAAGCAATTTAAGTTTAAGAAATCTAAGTTAGTAGCCCTAAAAAGGTTATATATATATATATATATATATATATATATATATATATATATATATATATATAATATCTTAAGACATGGAAAATGTAAAGTATTCATTCCATAGTGTATATTAGATTTAATTTGAAAAAACAAAAAAAACAAAAAAAAAAAATCATGCAAATAATTTACTTACGTGTGGTTAAACAATACAAGGAACAACTGTCTAGCTTATATTTCATTAAAAATGTAATTATATATTTCATTTATAATATTTAATATTTTTAAAGTGTGAAAGTGTGTTTACATATTGTTAAAAAATCATTATCTAGTTATCTCATGGACTCAAAAGTCTTTGAACATACATTTAAATCTCTGATGAATGAATCTAGCATTACAGGTATTATTGGTTATGTGTAGTGTTATTTTTCATTTTAATGTGTGTGTGTGTGTGCAGTCGGCTACACCACAGATGACCTGCAGTTCATGTGGCAGTCTGGTGACCCCGTACAGATGGAAGAGATTGCTCTTCCTCAGTTCGATATTAAACAAGAGGACATTGAATATGGCAACTGCACCAAGTTCTACGCAGGGACAGGTAAAAGTTTTCACTTTTTATGAATGGCACTAAATGTGTGCAGAAATTCTCTCTCTAGTTGAAGTAGTAGCCATTAGATGTGATTCCATGATAAATGCACCCTTTTGTCCATTTAAAGCAACCTTTTGAACTGTTGAATGATAGGCTACTACACGTGTGTGGAGGTGATTTTTACTCTGAGAAGGCAGGTGGGCTTCTACATGATGGGTGTGTACGCTCCCACCCTGCTCATCGTCGTCCTTTCCTGGCTCTCCTTTTGGATCAACCCTGACGCCAGCGCTGCCCGTGTGCCTCTGGGTACTTTTTCCAATCATCAGTCCTGCCACAAACATCAGCACCTCATCTCATGTCTCTGTGGAGTCCTGTACCCCCGTCCTTTTTCATTCCACGGTTTCACCAATATAACATCCACCAATGAATCTTTTCAATGCCTCTGATTTCACTTCAGTACTGGAGGTTTAGGGTGATAGTTTTTTCATGCCCTACAGCACTATAGCTTCTTTTCATCAATTGCTTACCTAAAGGCATCTCCAAGGAAATGTAATGCATGTCCAGGATATTTCCATCCGCCTCAGCTATAGCCCACAGGGGTTATTTCGCTATTGGACCCGCAGAGTTCACTGAGAGAAGATTATCCAAGATGCGATGAAGATTACGCAAGATGCTGTGAAATTGGACAATTTCTTGTGTTTTCCAATTATAGCCTGATAGTGCTGATAAATGCATGTATTGTTTTCACGGAACATGCTTATTCCTTGTTCTAGTTCTGTTTCATGGGTGGAACTTACAAAATTCGATTCCATTGGTCATGCCAGTAACACCACCATTCTGTCCACATTGTTGTCCTTGTCACAGTATAACGTGATTACATCAAGTGTCATCTAAAAAAAAACACTGTCCATGGTCTCAAACCCATACCATTTCAGGTCAGTCATTTAATGCAGTTTTTGAGTGTTTGGTTTGTATGTGTGTCATTTTAATTATACACAGGCCTAGATGGAATCTACAGATATATTTTTTTGTAGATTTTGTGGGGAAATCTGCAGAATGAATTTAAATATTAAATTCTTTCCCCGCCATTGACAGAATTTTCCGGCAATCTGTTTTCAATGTTTTACGTTATATCCAGATCCATAAACAAGCGAAGAAGAAGCAGAAAAGGTAATGCATAGATATCCATAATAAAGGCTAGATGTCTTGTCCACGCTGCTGGCCAATGGATGTCAATGTCCGCACTGACGGCCATCTTGTCACAGGCAGTTTGCTCACTTGTAACATTGTGTTTTAATGGTGCATGTTCTTTTTACATAACCATAACTTGCTCAATTTTCTACCGATTTTCAAACGGTTCGGATTGTTATAAACGTCAGAGATGTAGTTATGACAGTGCACACTTATGAATAATAAGTGTATCAATAAATAATCATCCAGAATAATAGCCACATTAATGACGTTGGTAAGAAACCAAACCGTTTGTAAATCCGTCAAGATTTCAATGAGATAAGAGTATTTGTGATCGTGCTGATAACTCACCTTACTTCAGGAACCACAGAGCCAGAAAGCTTGCCTGTGACAAGATGGGCGCCGGCGATGACGATAGAGACACCGCCATAAGACATCTAGCCTTTATTATGGATATCTATGAGGTAATGACTGTGAAGATTTGGGGGTGTTGATCGGCTCGATCTTATTCGTCTATTTTGACCATCGTTCTAAATCCGATCTGGACAAGTCTTATACAAAAATGGGATTTTCTCAGATTTTTGTGTTTAAAACGTTGCTTTTTTATGAAACTTATCAACATTCAAGTGTAAATTATAAAATAATGCATGAAGCGAGGATATCTGTTTTTTTTTTTTTTTAAAGCAAAAGGCTCTGTTATTTCTTTTGATAATTTTCTTACCAAAAATATTCTTGGGGCCACATTTTTGTGAAAATGCTGACAACTTAAAAAAAAAAAAAAAACTGCTGGGGAAAGAGTTAAAGGGTAAGTTCACCCAAAAATGAAAATTCGGTCAATAATTACTCACCCTCAAGTTGGTCCAACCCCGTAAGACTTTACGTCTTACCTATTACTTTACGTCTTACCTATTACTTTACGTCTTACCCCGTAAGACTTTACGTCTTACCTATAATAACCTATTATTAAATAAAATTCAAATGTGTAGTAAACAAACACATTAGGGACAGGGATGTGTTTCTGTGTGATTCCATGTAAGCCTGCTCATAAAATCAAATATTTTGAAATAAATAAATGTAATTCTCTAAGCAGCATTGCATTGGTATTGGTATACCATCCATTCACAATTTTGGGGTCAGTAATATTTTCTATTTTCGCCAAAAAGATGCATTAAGTTGATCAAAAGGGACAATAACGACATTTAATGTTTCAAACAAATGGTGTATTTTTGAAATTTCTATTCATTAAAGAATATGCACCATGGTTTCCACTAAAAATATTAAGCAACTCAGCTGTTTTCACAACATAACGATTTTTACTGTATTTTTGATTTAATAATGCAGCCTTGGCGAGCTTAAGAGACTTCTTTCAAAAACATCCGACACTTCAGATCAATGTGTGAGCTCATCTCTTCTCAGCTCATTTGATCTAATGAACCCTCTCTTTGTCTGCAGGGATACTGTCAGTGCTCTCGCTCTCTTCTGAGTGCACGTCTCTGGCCTCTGAACTGCCCAAAGTCTCCTATGTAAAAGCGATTGACATCTGGCTGATTGCCTGCCTGCTCTTTGGCTTTGCCTCTCTGGTCGAATATGCTGTGGTTCAGGTGATGCTTAACAGCCCTAAACGACTGGAGGCGGAGAGAGCAAAGATTGCCAGCAAAGAGAAAGCAGAGGGAAAGACCCCTGCCAAGAACACTATCAATGGCCTGGGAAGCACCCCTATACACGTCAGTACGCTACAGGTCAGAAACAACCCACTGACTCTATTTAAACAGAATGATTATGAAAAGCACCACTGGTAGTGATAACAACTATGATAACACAGTAGTTTTTGGACACGGCAATATCACCTCTTTGAACATCGCATTTATACATTTAAAAATACTTAACATATAATTATATAATTATGTATGTAATTATATATTCAATATAATATACTACTGTTCAAAAGATTAAATTAGTTAATAGTTATATTCAGAACTTCTGTGACAAAAGTCACAGTAATGTGACAATTTCAAATAAATGCTGTTTTTTTTTTTTTACTTTCTGTCCATCAAATAATCCAGCATTAGAGTTTCCACAAAAATATTAGGCAGCACAACCGTTTTCAACTTTGATAAAATTAAGAAATGATTATTGAGCACCAAATCAGCATATTAGAATGATTTCTGAAGGATCATGTGACACTGAAGACTGTAATGATGCTGAAAATTCTGTTTTGCCATGCTGAAAATTCTGTTTTGCCATCTCAGAAATAAAATAAATTTTAAAATATATACAAACAGAAAACAGTTATTAGAATTGTAATATTATTATTATTATTATTTTTTAAATCAAATAAATGCAGTCTTGGTGAAAATAAAATACTAATTACTAAAAAAACAACAACAAAAAAAAAAAACAACAACCTTAACATATCTTACTGACCCAGGAACTTTTGAACAGTAGTGTAAATATTATAACATTAATATACAATTAAATATACTAGATATAGTAATTTATTGAAAATATAATATTCTGTTAATGAATTATTATTTATTTTATTTACTATATTTTGAAATACAAACGTGACGCATCTGTATTCCTTCTAAGTATGTTTTATTCCATGACAGCATACAATAGAGACACGTTAAGCTGCACATGGGGACACATTATATTTAAACGGCCAATTTTGCCTGTACAAAGAGATCATTGTTTAAATTCTGTTTTTATTGTGTTCAGTTGCATTGCTGTCCCTGTAGTTATATAATCTGAAATCATGCACTGCTAATGTCAGGTCTGAATGCAAAAGTGGTGGGATAATCACAGTACTTCATGTTCTTCAGAAAACAGACAGCTTTATAGCAACAATTGTAAGAGGAGCTTGAAGGCAATGGTTGCCTGACAGACAGGGGAAATAGGCTGAATAATGTGGTTTGTTGCAGTCTATTATAAGCTTTAAATTGGCCCCAGAGGGAGGCTTAAGGATGCAGCGTGTTTGCAACCACTGTCACACATTTACTCCCAGACTTCAACTTGACAGCAGAAGAACATCTGACCCGAAATTAACCCACATGCTCTTTGCACAACCCCTGAAAGTTACCGACCTCCAAGAAAACCTCATTCATTGCCCTGAATTAGAGCTTTTAAGGTTTGTTTTCTGCCACGGATTCTCCAGCCACGTAATGGCTGTTCAGACATGCTGATAGCTTTTGACCAGACAATATTTATTAGAAGGAAATGAAAGCTCCAATACTGTGTTTGACAGACAAGTTTCCTAAATCTCTGCACTAGAAAATACATCAAGCTGTTTGAGGATTTAAGTGTTGTGTGCCCAGTGGGAAGTACGGTCCAGCACTGCATGCCTTCTGCCCCTTTCCACACATCCAGAACTAATACAACAGACAAGTTGGCATTAGACCATCAGACATCACTCCAGACATCCCTCTGCTCTGTTAGTCAGAGGGAGAGAGAGAGAGAATCAGACGGTGCAATGTCACATCAGTTCTTAATGCTTGTCTTGTTCTGTTCTATTTTAATGCAAGGTAGGTGTTTCTACTCTCCACTTCTTTTCTTCTCCTGTTGTTCCTGTGTGGGAGGGCCACGCTACACTGCCTCTGCCCTGTTAGGGATTTAGGAAGAGACCTAAATAATTGCCTGTCCTCAAACTCTCCCTCTCCCAGCACCTCGGAGTGTAAAGAGAAAGGAAAATGCCACAAGAAAGAGATAGAGAGTGTATGTGTCTCTACAGGAGGGACACAATTCTGTGGGAAACATTTAATCAGATTTGGTTTGAGTTGTCCATGTCTGATGCCTGAATGAGTATCATAATGCATAAATGATCCGCCTGCCAGCTATCATTTGTTCATTTCCTAATTATACAAATTAAAATACCTAAGTGTGAAATTAAAGGGATAGTTCAGTCTAAAATGCCGTTATCAATAGCACTCATGTCGTTCCGAACCAATATGATTTTCTTTATCTTTCTTTCTTTCTTTCTTTCTTTCTTTCTTTCTTTCTTTCTTTCTTTCTTTCTTTCTTTCTTTCTTTCTTTCTTTCTTTCTTTCTTTCTTTCTTTCTTTCTTTCTTTCTTTCTTTCTTTCTTTTCTCAAATATAACCCTAATTCAAACTTTGGAAAACACTAATTTTAGTTTGATTTGTATATTAAATCTTAAAAATGATGTATGTTTAAAGTGCCTCTATCATGCAGTGTAAAATATAGCTGTTTTCGAATGTAAAAGGTCGAGAAGACACTGTTTTTAGCTCTGAAAATCCACTTTACAGAGATGGTCCTCACTGCAGAACATGAAATCCAGGGTATGTATACCTAACATATATCCTTGTTACATATACCTAAACCCACCCATCTCCACCCCCTGATCCCTAACCCCACCCCTAATCCTACCCATCTCCACCCCTTATATCTGAATCCAACTCTGCCCCCTGGATTTCGTGTACTGCAATGAGGTGCTACTGACTTTACATGCACTTCAAAAGGATCAGGACTCGCGCTCGAATTGATATGGAAACACAGACGCCATGATTACTGTTCATATCACTGTGTGTATACAAGCACTGAGGAAGCCTCCAGAGCTGAAATTCAGTTATGGTAATTGCTGTTTCATTTCCCACACGCACTGTAAGTGGTAGACTTATCACAACAGACTGGGCCGTCTGAACAAACTGTGTGGGTGGCAAGTTGTGTTGATGGCCAACAGCCTTGTTGGTTACCATCTGCTTTCATTGTATAGAAGAGAGCAGCTTGGACATTCTTCTAGATAACTCCTTTTGTTTTTCATTGAAGAAAGTAAGTCATACAGGTTTGGAACAACATGAGGGTTAGGCAATGAATGGAAATGGGAACAGAATTTCATAGGGTGAACTATCCTTTTACTGTTTCAGGACAAATCATACCAGATGTTGGTGGGATCTGACATGTCTCTTTATTCATCTTTTTCTCACTCTCTCCCTCTTTATCTCTCTCAGGTGACAGAGACAAGGTGCAAAAAGGTATGCACCTCCAAGTCAGATTTGCGCTCCAATGACTTCAGCATCGTAGGCTCTCTGCCACGAGACTTTGAACTCTCAAACTTTGACTGCTACGGCAAGCCCATCGAAGTCGGCGCTGCTTTGGGTAAATCGCAAGCCAAAAACAACAAGAAGCCGCCACCTCCTAAACCTGTCATCCCCTCGGCAGCTAAGCGTGTAGATCTATATGCCCGTGCGATCTTTCCTTTCACCTTCCTATTCTTTAATGTTATTTACTGGTCTGTGTATTTGTGATTGTGTAAACCTGCTTTTGTTAACGTTTTTTTTCTCTCTTTCGTATCGTCTCAGTCCATATAATTTTTTACCTCAGATATCAAATGAAGCAGTTATGCCAATGGTGTGCAGAGTGAATCTTTGGGAAGAAACAGTATTGCTAAACAGAAGCAATATTTTCTAATAAAAAAGAGCGAAGGAATTGCTTGAAACATGTTTGATTTTCACACTATATTTAATTTATGCACAAAAAGAGAGAAATTATTGTCTTGCATGTGAAAAATATATGGATATTAATATATTTAAAACATTTAATATTATTTTTAACCTATAGATTTATCAGCTGTTAAGATGATGCTGAGACATTTGTACTGAAAAACACTGCCATAAGAACTGTCTTTTGATGATGTTCCTATTACAAGCATTCCAGAAATAACAAGCACATGTATAAAAAACAAAAACAACATCACCTGTGCTTGTGAATCATCCATCAATAAACAGCCCAGTGGTTCAGCTGACCTATGACTCTTTTTCCTGCTAATTCCTCTCTCAAGCTCATCGTATCTTGAAAATTCAACTTATAGTATATATATATATATATATATATATATTTTTTTTTTTCCCCAAGAATGTACCTAAATGAAACCCTCTAAAAAACCTCTCAAAAGGTTCTTCTTAAAAGACAGTCCTCTGCAAGTAAATATTGTTGAAAGTTAAGGGATTGAAAAAGCTACTGTGCTAACTTTAGGAAACCAGTTTTCTGGTTCTGAAGTCCACTTAACCAAAAACAAAAAAGCAGTTTGAACATGTTTAATTGAACAAACCCTTATAATAATGCCTATAGTGTCTCAAAAAAAGAAAAAAAGAATAAAAAACCTGCATGAACATTTTATCTTTTATATCGAAATGAATACACGATTCAGTCAACATTAGTGTCAGATAAAATAGAAGTTGTATTTAATTTTTTTCACAGTGTTGCGGCAATAAATGGTTAATTTACCCGAAAACAAAAGTTCCTGTTGATCTACTGACCAAAAATGTGCTTGAGACCGAAGACACAATAGGCCACACAGCTTTCTGAATATCATGGTTTGGCCTGTTCCTGCACCCAACCCAAGAACCAGCATTCATTACGCTGTGAAATATGCTGGCAGATTGACCTACGGGTGTCTTTGCACTAGTGGAATATGAAATCTGTCTGGAATGTAATGAAGCGTGGTAAATGGAGAATGCCCTACCCCTCCCTGCCACATTCACACAACAAAAAGGCCATGCCAATAAATCTAAGAGAAACCTGGAGTTGTTTATATAAAAAGGGAAGGGCAACTGGAAGGAAAATTGTCTTAACCCCCCCATATTATATTTGTGGTGGTATACACAGAGTTGCAGAGCATGTGTCAAATGGTTAGTTAGTTGCTATGGCAACAGACACAGAGACGGCAACTGCGTGATTTCGTTGATATATTTGACTGTGTCTGGAGCCAGGTTTGCTTTTTTAACCCTTTAAAGCAGTCACATTAGATGCTGGAGGAAGTCATCTCAGCCCATTCTTTCCTTATAAAGACCATCATCTAAACATGTTTTTGATTACTTTAGTTTAACATATGGGTTTATCAAAAGCCTCCGACTTCAAAATGTTAAGATGCACTATAGAGCCCCCTAGGGGTACAACTTATGAACTAACTCAGTAAAAAGGAGGCAATCATGAAGTAAACCTATATGCAAAATCATGCCAATGTGTGTGTGATTGAGAGTGGTGAAAAAAAACGATTTGCAGACTTAAGAAGTTCTCAGTTATCTTGCAAATTACTTCATATGTGCCCTGCTTCTTCCATCTGCATCCTCCTCCACAGTCATTTGACTAATTACTGTGGTAGCGCCACTCTTTGTGCAACAAGACAGACTAACATGGAGGTGGAAGCCTTTGAACAGGCTACAATATGGATATAAGTTTCATAAAGCCAGCCTTTGTGAAATGGTTCATTCTGTGTCGAAGTGCATTATTACCTTTCAAAATAATTTGATAAATTCATGACATAGGCTATATCACTTTATTATATAAAACCTTAATTATTTTTAATTATATTCTTAATTATGTTTTATCCTAAATGCTCAAAATGTCAGGTGGTGCAACTGTCCGAACAAATGAACAGACTAAAGAAAACTATTTAAAATGGTGTCTTAATACTAAAAAATGAAAAACTAAATATTATGGTATCATTTTAGGTTTGAAACTTATCATAAACACATTTTATTGCTAAATATCAATAATAATAACAAATCCCAAACCGAGCACAAAAAAATATATATGATTGTGCACACGCACACCTGAACACATGCCAAAGCTAAAATCTTTATGCACAGTAGTCAGTTTTGACTGGGGGCGGGGTCCAAACAGTTAACAAATGCTATTGATTTCTGGCCTTCCCTGAAACTCTTCTTTCGATTGGCTATTATGTTATATTATGATTGGCTTATGTTTTTTTCCTATCAGTTTCCATCCCTTTGAATGGAAATGCATTGATCTAGTTCATTTACTATGGTTTACTGACAGTATAGTTTTATATAATTGGTGTAAAAATATGTGAAAGGCTCATAGATCAGTTCATTTTAATTAACTCTTATAGACCACCCAATTCTTTTTTTTTTCTAGACATGATTAAATATATTGCTGTCCATTTAAAATGAAGATACAATTTTATTTGCCTTTTGAAGAAAATACAGATTTTTAGATTTCTCGAGACACGTATACTCTTAAGGTATGAATTAAAAACGAAACATAAATAGACAGCACATTCTCATATAATCTGATACCAGCTGTGAAGCACCTGCAAGACAAGAATTTTTCCATTTATATATTTTTTTATATAGGCTATTGACAGTCGAAGATAGAAGATTGAAAAGGTAAAATCTTTTCAGAAATGTGTCTCAGAGGTTTCAAAGTTATTTTCAGCAGCTTCAGCTTGCAGTTGTGTGCTTGAGCATGACACTACTCATCATGTGTTTCCAAGCCCACCCACACGCGTTCGCCTCTGCGTTTTCCCCATGATTGCTGTTTCACACATTTGTTTCAAGCAGCTTGTCTTGATTCCTGCTGGTTATCTGTCCTCCCACCCCACAGTTCACTCTGTAACCTATATCACATATACTACTGCCTAATACAACCTGAACACACACACTGGGTGGGTGGGGGTGGAACGACCGCCACTACTTTCTTGCAGTTGCCACACCCAACACCTTCATTAAAATGTTATGAAAATTTCATATCACGATTGTAGTGACTTAAAATTATCGTGGATATCAGAATTGTCACGGTATTGTAAAAATGGTCTGGAAATGTTCAAAAAGTATTAATACACAGTTGCTGATATTTTAAGTGTTAATTTGTCTTCTATGTTATTTTTATTTGCATACATATTAAAATAATAACATCAACAATGGCAGTGAACAAAATTGGTTGGGTGATTAACATCTTAAATCTTCAAATAAAGTTAACAAAAAAGTTTTATAAAATGTTAAACCTCACATTTCAGCATTTGAAGCATTTTTAAGAAAAGAAATGAGTCGAAATGATAAGTGAATATCCATGAATAATGCTGCTGGAGATAACCAGGTTCTTTTCATTCCATAAAAAAAAGTTATATAGCTATAAAGAGATAGGTCTTGATTGCATAATACTTTCATGTTTAATGGGTTATTTAATGTTTTAATTTTCTTGTAATAATGTATTTAACGAAATGTTTGATAAAAATTAAAAAACAATGAATTAAAACTAGATTAATTAAAACTAAATGCATAAAATGTCAATCTACAAGTCTACTAGTAGAAGGATAATGGTGACTAATGGTGACTTCCTGGACGAGGTGATTTCTATAGATTGGTGAGGAGTCTGCCATTAAGCAGTGATTGTGAACGAGTGGGTGGGTCCTAGTGATTGAGAGATGATTGGGGCTGTGACGGTGTGGCTGACTCTGTGACAGCCTGCTACAGACTGTGCAATTTTGGTAATCCCATAAGTTTACTACAAATCACGCTGTATGACATGGATATATAATTTGGGTACGACATGTATGTCGACTGTACAATGATGACACCAACTGAATCTTATGCTACGACGCAAATTAGTATAGAAGAATAAAACGTCATCAGCATGCAGTAGTGATAAACAAATAGAGCAAGATGAATCGCACTTTGGTAATTGTGGTTTTTATGTGCGCTAAAAAAAAGAGGAGAAGGCAAAAGAGGAGAATATATTCATGCCAATTTTACAAAAGGTGCTTGAAGTGGTAGTTTTAAAGGTGACAGATTATGCCTATTTTCACAAGATGTAATAGAAATCTATGTCAAATTTGACCTCTTTTGGGTGTGAACAAAAATGCACAGTTTTTGTGTGTCCCCCTTTAAATGCAAATGAGCTGCTGCTCCACATGTTTAACTTTTACACAGTTGACACAGTTCCTTGAGGTCTTTATAAGCTGTGATATTTCGGTGTCAAAATAATACATGGCTGAACTGAAACCTGAGCGAGGCATGCTTTGCTCAAACTTTTGTCATTGTGCTAAAACTGGTTACACTGTTGTTGCTTGCGAAAACCAAATAGTGTAGCCATAGGTGGAAACGTGCAAATTATGGCACATCTTAATATGTCAGAAGGGGATCAAAATCTCATCGTCTTATGGGGTAAGCTTACCAAAACAAAGTTGTCACTTTTCACGTTTTCTGGGTTGGCAGATGCACCGGGGACCCGATTATAGCACTTAAACATGGAGAAAGCCCGATTTCCATGATATGTCCGCTTTAAGTTTTAGCGTAATGTCACGTTTATCAATATGCCATTTCATGTTGGAAGCAAACTGCATCAGAAATTCCATACTTTCCTACCGTGTAGCCTATAGTAGGCAAAAAAAAAAAAAACAGTATGTGAAAAAACAAAAGTAGTATATCTTATATTAACTATAATTCACAGTATTCATAAAAGAGTAGGCAAAAAGTACCCAGATGACCCGCTTCTTCCGCCGAGATGAAGTGTGCATACGATGGACACTTTAATATCCCATGCCATGAGGCCCCAAGAGAGGATTTATGAAATGGCTGTAAAGCCATGCACTGATGCTGGTATAAGTCACATGATAATGACAACATGGTAGTACATCTGGATCTCATTCACACACAATCATACTATAGCATACTTATATACAGTATATATATATATATATATATATATATATAGCAGTCATGAAGTAATTACTTATTCAAAATAGGCTAAGTACCTACTCAAGAGAGTATATGATTTCGGACACAGCACTGTCAGAAAATTATTGCACGCTGTCTTTGGCCGCAAGACCATGACAACGGCCGTCTTTGAAACTCTCTTACTGTACGAATGTAGGACCAGGCACAATTTAGGAGGCATGACCACAGAATTCACCATGATTGGTCAACTTAATTTTGTCTGGGACTGCCCAAAATCGTACAATGTGCACCTGGCATAGGTTATACATGAAGTTTTTCCTCTATG